GGGGGGGGGGTAGCCTAGGGTGACGCCGGACGGGGGGTGCGAGCGGGAGAGGAGGCGGCAGCGCGGGCGCACTGCGCTGCTGCCGTGGAAAAACAGCGAGCTCCGCCCGGCTCCAAGCCCGAGCTCCACGCCCCGCCCCGTGGCCACACCACACACTGCGCCCTCCACACACTCACACGGCGCGCTGCACTGGCCCACCGTGGCCTACACGCTAGTTAATGAGTTACAGCGACACTCGACAGCGCTCTCGAGTGTGTGAGTGTGTCAGTCTGTGTGTTTGGACGTGTCTAACACTGTCTCCAACTCGAAACAGCAGCGTAAACACAAACAGTATAACAGCCCCGAGCCCCAGCGGCAGTCGAACAACAACAACATGGCCGCCCTTGCAGCCACCTCGAGGCGGGTATAAGCGGGTAAGCCAAGCCCGGGAGGAGCTCATCTGCGCACCTGCGCAGCGCCAGCTGCCAGCATGAGCCCCCTGTCCTGTATGACGGTGACGGACGGCCCCAGCGACGTAGCGCCGCGCAGCGCGCACACGGAAAAAAGAGTTAGTTCTCCTAACGAAGCGTTTACTTGATTTCCGGATCCGTGCGTGATTTTTCACGCTTCGTAAGATTCACACAGGGACCGACTTTTATCACGCCTGACGTGAAAATCACGCCTAGCGAGAAAGTAACGCGCTCCCGTTTGGTGAACGATCCACCTTCATGTTTTGAACAAAAAATGCTATGTTTGGTTTGTCTTCACGCTGTTCGGGAAGAATCAAAGCGAATGAAGAAAAAGGCGAGCACTGGCGGGAGCTGAGCGGAGCTGAGCGAAGCTGGGTTGGACCGGGGAGACGGGCGATACGGCCAGATATGGACCTGGCGAAGAAGGGCGGGGCTGGGCGGGATGGGGCGGGCAGGCCTTGTCAATAACACTCCTTCCTGTCTCTTTTTTTAAGCGTGAGCGGGCGGGTAAGATGGCCGGTCGAGCACCTGGACTCGACAACAGCCTTGACCTGACTCCGCGCAGATATCATCGAACAAAAAATATTTAACGACGTATTATCCACTGAGACATTTTAAAAATGACACATCTTTACTAGAGCGGTTAGCTCATGTACGCAGTGATTTCACTTGTCCGAAGGCAAACTGAAAAATATCTCTTCGCTGTGTCCTTGTGTATCTCTGTATGGTGCTGAGCCGTCCGTAAATCGGATCAGGACTTGGGACACGCACGTTCCCCGGCGGCCAGCCCCTTCTCCACTGCCTCTCCATGGTCCCCCAGAGAGGCACCTGCTTCCCATATTCCGTACCCCTCTTTCATCCCCACATCCCCTTACATTAGCTCCCCTCCGCTCCTCCCCTTTCTCCCAACCCGTTGCCATAACTCTCTCTCCAAAGTCTCCAGCGAGTAAGTAACCCCCCGTGCATGGCTCGTTTTTAAACGGGGGTGTCATTTTATGTAAACAAAAACCCACGCAGGATTATAATTCTACGCAGCATTCGCACTAAAAACTAAATGAGTGTTAAGTGTCCGCAGTTTTACAGTATATGTGCGGCACGTCCCACGCCAACAAGTGCGCGGCTGGCCGGCTGTGCCTCGCCTCGCCACGCCGCAGTAGCCGCCTGCACTTTGTTGCAGGGAGGCTTACTTAAAGGCTTTCCGCAGCGCCACTCTTCTTGCTGGACCTGTTTGCTCCCGGGATCGCGCGCCGGCTTTCCTGTGGTGGCGTGGCTCAGGCCAGGCAGCATGCAGCGCCTCGATACCGGGAACTGGATCGCTCCAGAGTTTGTTCCAAAGTTTTGAAATTTATTTGAATTTAAAATTTTGTTAGTAACTGTCGCTGCT